TCATAAGTAATTATAACTTGTAAGTGATAACCCCGTTTAACTAAACAGAGTTATATTACTTTTCAACCACTTCACCCGGGTAAAAAGTTTTGACCCCGTTAAACTTTAGCATCGGGTAGCCATGTACCGGGTGCAATACCCGAGACATATATAAGCAAATGAACACTACTTTTAAGCCTTTTACCACTCCTTCACTCTCTCTCACTACTTTCTCTCTCTAGAGCCGAACCCGACTCCAAAACCGCGAATTCAGGCTTCAAAACGTAAGGGTTTCTTCCCTACCTTGTCCAAATCATAGTTCATAACATTTTGAGGCCAAAAATCATAAGATTTAGGGGATTAAATGGAGTTTATGGCCTAGGAAGCCCCTTAGGCCGTAAACACCTAAAATCTTGCCCAAAAACCTCATTTTTCCTTCCTTTAAGCTTATATATTAATTAAGGGATATACCTAGGAGATTTTAGACATGAAATCATAAGAAATTGAAGCCTAAAAAGGAGTTTACGGCCCAAGCTTATGCTTAGGCCGTAAACACCCAAAAACCCTTGATAAATGTCCCAAAAACTCATCTAGGGCATAGAGTAAATTAGCTATGAAACTTGGAAATGTCTTTGGCCACTAAACAACACAATTTAGGGACAAAAGAGGAGTTTACGGCCAAGAATAGTCTTGGGTCGTAAACACCCAAAAATGTTGCCAAAAAGTCCCTAAAACCCCACCTAAGGTCATCTAGTATTTATCTAAGGTGAAGGGAAGTGTGTTGTACCATTAAGCATCTCATTTTGAAGCCAAAAGAAGAGTTTACGGCCAAGACTATACTTGGGCCGTAAACTCCCCAATTTTTATGCCAAAATGCCCCAAAACTCCACATAAGGCCTTCATAAATTTATCTAAGATGTAGGAGTGTGTTTTGGACCATTTAAACATACATTTTGAAGAACAAAATGGAGTTTACGGCCTAAGCACAAGCCTTGGCCGTAAACTCCCCAAAATGTCCCTAAATGAGGGTTTAAACCCTCCAAATTAGTTCAAGACACTTGTTAGGAAATTAGGGAAGTGATTAAAGGCCTTAACTTGCAATTTTAGAGGACCACATGAGTTTACGGTCAAGCCTAGGGGCTTACGGACGTAAACTACCAAGGAGTGGCCTTTGGGCCGTAAACTCCAAGGGAGTGAACTCATGGACTTCCCCGTAAACCCCTCTTGGCCTTGTACCACTCCCGGGAACTCCTTCTAGGCCCTAAAACCCCGAATTGATGTTAGAAGGCCTAAATACTTAAATGGAAAGCATAAAATGATTAATTTCTTGTAAAATACATATTTCATATGACATTAGGATCCTAAAAGGTGCACAAGTCATTATTTGGAACAAAACGCTCAACCGACACTTTTACCCGATTTACCCGGTTCACCCGATTTACGCGAATTCAGGTGAGCATACCCCTTTAATGAACCTTTCAAATGTTTTATATGCTTTAGGGGGGGGGGGGATACAAGTTGATTATACATGTCTATGAAAAGTTATACAAGACAATTATTCATGTTACAGAATTAATCACATGTGATTCACTACCCGTAGTTCAAATCACATGTGATTTATCACTATGCCGTATAAATAAATTATTTGTTTTCAAAACTATTTTGGATAAACAAACAATTTTTTAAATGTTCTTTTGGACAATACTTGGACAATACTTTTATTTAACAAATCTTCTTATAAAATGTAACCACACTGATATATTTATATAAGTAAGATTTGAAGGACATAGGACCGATAGCTCGCCTTATTTCCTGTTCTTGTTTGATTGTGGGCTTAGGGTAGTGGTTATCCGTCCGACTGTCGTTGATTTCTTAGTTATATATCTTGTATATTAGTATGGATTACGAGTATTTCTTATTTCATTAGATGCCTAAATCACTAAGCTGACAAGAATCATACACACTAAGTTAACTATAATAGGTATAGTTAAGGCCTCTATTACTCGCTTTAACTACTACTCTACACCACTATAATACTCTCTATTATGAAACTATACACTAATAAGAGAATACAATACGAGTTATACAAAAGACTACTACACTATAATACAAAAAGAAAGTACTAATCATGAGATAACACATTAACCCACTATGAGATACTCTATTTGCTACGCACTACGCCCAAAAGTTTTCCGATAGGAAGACGATGCTTATGTATAGATCTATACGGGGCAGACGCTATTACATCCCGACTGTTAACTTCAGTCCGAGCCGCACATGTCCAGGGATGCCTCTACTCCACTACACTGTGCATGACCGGGAAGGTCATGGGGTCCGCTATTACTCACACTATTGGTAACATACAAGAAATACACTATAACCGCACTAAAATACTAAACAAAGGTAAAGTTAATATCCCGAAGTAAACAAGTATCTAGTACTAAAGGAAGTTGCACCACTATTATTTACTTCAAGTATAACTTACCATATTACATTATTTATTGGTGAGTCACTATTATTCTTCCACGATAAATGGTTTTCAAAGATGAAAATGACATATTTCTTAAAGGTTTTCACTTATTATACATTTATGGAAAATATAGGATTTTCTAGGTTTTACTACTACTTATGACTGTAAATTTCAGCCTTTCATACTATCGGTTCTAATGCTTTTTATATAAGAACTCACACTAAACTCTTATGAACTCACCAGCTTTATGCTGATATTCTTTTCAAAATAACTTGTATCCTCAGGTCAAAGATAGACAGGTACGAATGCAACATTTTTGGAGAAGATGGAGCATGCAAGAACCATCTCTTATTTTTGGTTTACTTTTGGTGTTTGTTGAACATTACAAAATACACTTGTAAATACACTCACTATGTAAATGAAATGGTTGTATGTTTCTTGCTTTTACTATTATGCAATTGTGATGATACCGTACACTACGTCCTCCACCCCGAAACGTATTCCGCCGTTATCGGTTTTGGGGGTGTGACAGATGATGAGATAGAATGATACATTAGGCCATGTGGTAGATATATCATGACCTAAGTTATAAACCAAAGGTTTAGGTCCTATTTGATTTGGGTCTGACCGGGTCCGGTCAGACCTTTTGTCTGACCCAGTCCGATCCAACCCGTTTGATTTGCATATTTTTCCATCTGACCGAGACCTTAAAAAAATAGTTGCTGACTGATAAACTTCCCAAGCTTACCCCTCATCAATCTCACCCGGTCTTGAGCCAAATCGGTCCTCTTCTCAGTGATGAAAATCATCATCCTTGTCACCATCGCCATCGCTTCCTTCTTCCATCGATGCCATCACTTCCTTTTTCTATCGAGAAAATAGGAATGCTTCTTCCTCTGTCAATCGATCTGGGATTGTTCTTTAATTTTGGATTATATGCCATGAATTAAAATCGACCATCTACTTTATGTTTTCTTATTCTGATTTTGTTGGTTTGTTCTATCTAAATCAATGAATATTGGAATTTATGCATTTAAATATCATTCAATTGATTTGCTTGTACATCGATTTAGATTGAACCTGGAGTCATGACATCATGATTGGTCATTCCACCATTAAAGCCTGTGTGAAACCCTTCGTCAAGAGTATGATGCCTCAGTCTGCATCAAATTCATGTTGTTTTGATCTCACTTGGATGTATGAAACCAAATTATGTTGTGAAAACAAACTCCTACCAGTCTCTTCCTAAAACCAAATCAAGTTCATGTTGTTTCCATATCTCACTTGGATGAGTTATAACTTATGACAATACAAGACTTTACAATCTTAATTTATGTTGTGTAATTGTTCTTTAGTTTGTTATGAATTGAATTTTTATCAAAGAAAGTTATTGGTTCAACAAGAGCTAGACCACGCTCCGATGTAGTGTGACTATTGTAGAAATAATATTGGATCTTATTATTCTATTTTTTTATTCTTTAAATTCAAGTTGTAATCACTTTATTTTAGGGATTGATGTTTTTGCTTTATGTTTTTTTATTCAGATTACATGTAATTGTATTCATATGAGTTTATCATTTGTTTTTCTTTTAATACTTGATGTTTTTGCTCCAAGTGTTATGGCTAATGTTTGTTGCATGTCTCATAAGTAACATATAATTATTAAACTTCAAATTAATGGCTGATTATCAATCTTTTAAATTGATTGATGAATGTAAATCTGGTAAATGAATGAATTGTTTGCATTGTTGAATGACAATTTGTATTACAATTTGTATGTTTCTATAATTCTTTAGCAACTTTATCCATTACTGTATAGAGCAATAAGGTAAAATTGTCATTTTTTTATCAGGCAACACATTCAGTCAGATGTACAATTAAACACAATGGTTTTTTACTCAATCAGGATTTCTTACCCAGACAAACATTTTTCAGTCAACACTTTCTGAGTCAGTAATTATCAAACGGGACCTTACTTTTCAAAGGAGCAGCGCTTTTTGAATATTTCATCACCCATTAAATTTTAAACGAATAACATATATAAAGTGTTGAATTCTCTTTGAAATACTATGCATATCCGGTTACTAATACATAAAATGTTTTATAGGGACATCATCAACTACCGTCAACAAAAATTTATAAATTTTCCACATTGCATTCAAATTAATCATGACAACAAGAATTAGAGAATTAATACGCAAAAGAGTGAATATATAAAATATTGCTTTACACAACAAAGGTATACTTCCTTACACTTAAGTGGAGGTTGTTACCAAAAGCTTCTAGACCAACCCTATTTTTAAGGTTGATGGCTCAAGCTCCGTTGTAGACATAAGTAGGGAATTTAAATGTTCTTTTAAGAGTAGATTATATATATATATATATATATATATATATATATATATATATATATATATATATATATATATATATATATATATATTTGTCAGTTCCAAAAAAACCCTGAAGTTGTTGCAAAAATACATTGTTTAACAACGTTTACTTGAAATAGTGTCCAAGTATGTATGAGCAAGTTTCAATCAAGCCACCTTTAATTGAACACCGGTTTCTTGGTGAACTCCCAAGATCCTGCATAATCATCCGGAACAGGAAGATCAAGTTCTGAGCAAATAAATTGGATTATTTCCGCGACCAAAGGCCCGAAAGACAACTTGTTTAGGGTCACCGCAATCGAAAATCGGTTATTTATGTCACAATATCCCGTCGAACCACCTAAGCCTGCATGACCAAACCCAATCATCGAACCATCAATGTTGTTAATCCTATGAAATCCTAGCCCGAATTTTCCATTCGGTAATATTAAATCTTTATTAACTCCGTTTCCCAAGAACAAATCATGAAGTTTTGATTTTTGAGTGCTAAAGATTTTACTATCTATTTCATCATTTGTGTCATCGCTTTCAAGCACTTCAATGTTAAGATCAGATCCACGATTAGGATTAGTGGTGTGACTGTGAGTAATGGGGTGATGAGGGTGGCTTCCAAGTGGTGGGAGGGAGGAGGATTGGCTGGGAGGAACCACACCCCCGTCCACAAGGGTGGCATAGTAGCGGGCTAATGCACGGGCAGAGAAGTGTCCGTTAGACGCAGGTAGTATGGCACAACGGACATTGAGAGTGTTTGATGAGGTAATAAGGACATCAAGTATGTTGGGTGTGAAGGACGAAGGCACATGAGACATGAACTCAGGGGTTGCTGTTAAAGCGACAAACATACTAAATTCAGTTTTATCGTACGTAAGTGTCGCCAGACGGGATTCCACACCTGTATTCCACATAAAAACAAAAATTCCTTATAAACTATCTGACACGGCAATTTACAAAGTAACATTTATACTTTTGTCATTCATCGATTAAACCACTTAGTTATTTTATTTATATTGATTAAACTATTCTACTTTTGTAAAACCGCATTGATTTCCGTAGTTGCTTGCTTTCTCTTATAAACAAAATACAAAAAATCATAACACCACCATTTAACAGTTATTATTTTTATCAATTTAGTTACAATCATCACAAAGATGCACTTATAGCATGGTGAAAGCATGTTGTGATTTTACGTACTTTAACGTTTTTCAAAATCTGGCAACTAGGGAAAATAAGTTCTTTTACCGGTCAAAAAAGTATACTGGAATTAGTTACTAAAAAAATAGTGGAGTGTCTAATTTGATAAAAAAGTGTACAAAGTCGTTCTATACTTTGATTTTTTATAAATCTCACCAGGAGGAATCCCTATGTAAAACTCGCCTTCCACGTTAAGTGGGCGAACAAAAGCTTCCTCAAGAATATCTTGAAACTTCTTCCCCGATGCATGCTGCACATAATGTAAACGTCAATGATGAAAATAATGAAATAAAAATGAAGATATGTCACCATTGCTTTCATGTTCAAGGCAAAAACAACACAAAGAGACATCAAGGACTAGAGCCAATTTGTAATAGAATAGGTTACACCACATTTAATGCGCATTGGACTGACAACTGAGAAGTGAGATCAATGAGATAAAAATTCTAACTTTTTGTACCACCTAAAAAAGATAGAACAAGGTGAAACACAAACTTTTGAGTAAATAAATCTCTTGTTGATGCAAAAGATGAAAATGGTCTCCTCATCATTGAAAATATATAGATCTTGAAAAAAGGAAGATGTGTGTAATGTTACCTCAATGATCGCACCACATAGCCAACCATACGACAGATAATGATATATTTGTTTACAACCGGGTTCACTCTCTGGTTCAACTGTCGCAATGCGTTTTACACATTCATCCCAATCACAGAATAATATAGGATCATCTTCAACAATCACAGAAAGAGCATCGTGTAGACCAGATGTATGATTAAGTATATGATGAACCTTTATCTGATCTTTTCCATTTGTGCCAAACTCTGGCCAAATGTTTGCAACATTTTCGTCAAACTTTAGTTTCCTATGATGAGAATCCACATATGTTAATGTTTACTTGAGTGTCATGATAGCTCCTTCTAATTTTAAGGGTATTAAAACTATAAAATTGACGAAAATACCCTTTATCAGCCAGCCAATGTATCATTCCAGCCGTGACGCCTTTAGTTACAGAGAAAACCGGAAATAATGTATCATTCTGAACTGGACGAGGGTCATCTTTTCCCATTACTCCAGCTGACGTATCAATTATCACTTTCCCATCTTTGTATGCAGAAACCTAAGAAACATAAAGATCAGATAAGACTTTGTGTTACAACTCACAGGTAAACCGAAGACTGAAGATGATTACAAGGGTATTAACATCTTTTGCATGAACGAGAGAACGAAAGCACCTTTCCTTTATAATAAGCCAATTATATGAGGGAAGAGGTATGCACCTGAATTCCAAGTATTCTATGATCAGCGTTCCCTAATTCAACCAAGAAATGTCGCAGCTTGGCTTCTACATCAGAATGGATTGGACTATCATATAACCATTTTGCATTGGAGGATGGTCCGTTATTCATGTTGCTGAAACATAATTATAGCTAGTAAACAACGCTATGATATGACCAAATACGATTAAAGAAAGAATCAGTAGCGACTGGTTATATTGAAACAAAATCATAATCATATATACCTTTGGAGTAGGTGTCGCAATATTTGGATAATTAAGCTTATGCGAATGCTAATCTATGAATCTATGATGAAATCCTGAAACAATGTCGATTGTCAAGTAGATTTAAATACTCATCTTGAGTATTATTGTAGTATAGTGGTGGAAATTGAAAAAGAAATAAACTAACTAACGGGATTAAAGCATTTTCAATAATGACATTAGGTTGTTTCCCCATCTCCAATAGCAAAGATTCGGTTTAGTCTTTTTAGTATATTAAACAATGACAAAAACGCTATTTTTGAAGATTGTTTATTGATATGTAGGATTAATTGTAGAATAATAGGCAGGCAGCCTCCAAATTAGACATACTGTGCTTTCATATTGCTTTACATAATATATACTAGTTGGTAGTTGAGACTATGTGACTGGTTGTTTTGGCAATACCTGTTTTGATCTGTTTGCCATTAGATATTGAGAGTATAACGGTAGATAGAGCTTGATAAACAACAAACAAAAAACTTAATCAGGATTAAGAGGACAAATTTTCTTTAACACTGGTATTTAGCTCTCTATTATACATCGTTACAAACCCCTTTTCGCGATGTCCATAAAGCTTAATAATGGAGCTTAGTCTTCCATGCATATAAAATTGTCTAAGGTCGAAGGACATGATGCCTTTATCGGGAATACTTTTTTAGTTATTACCAATTTGTTGCGTTTCTTCCATGAATTACATGATGTTTTAAATATGTTAATAAGTGTAATATTTGTTAAATCCAAAAAACTATTGAAATTTAATACTTAGACACAGCCAACTGGTAGATAGGAATTTTGATATTCTACGGGTAAGGGCATGTGAATTCAGCATTCTCTCTATTGGTATTTTTTTTCATTGTGACCTATGTAATAATACTTATATAATTAAAGTGTGGCCGGATCTTGATAAATTATTGTTGGTTACTAATGTTGAATAATGATCGATGCCATCGTGGATGAAAAACGGGGTTAAGGTTGTAATTAATTACGTACATAGTCTAGACCCTTGGTTGAAGTTTACAAATCTAGGGTAATGCATTATTTATGTTGCATAGGAGTGGAGATGGCTAATAATAACAAGTTGGATGCATCGACTTGGTCATTTTTTGAATTTACTTTTTTAAGTGAGCATAAAAAAAATCTCTAAATTTTGACATCATCATTTATGAAAAGGTCAAGATTTCTTGTTAAATAGAAAAGATAAGTTAATGTGTGAATGTAAATCCCTCCTTAAACTAATATGTGATGGTAAAAACCCTAAATTAGTAAAACTCTACCGCCTTAACTTAGTGAGCATCCAAGTTTACAAGTCACGATTGTTATTAGGTGGTGTGGTGTCATCTTTATTATATTTTTCTGTCATATAGACATTACTTTATTACCACTTCATTTTTACCACCAAATCAAAGTTTCTTGCCACACATTAGGTGTAAAATGCCGTTGGTAAAGGTAATAGTGGCGACAAATCGGCGCTAAAAGGCCGCCGCTAATGCTTCATTGCTATTGATCGAAAAGTCGACGCTAATAAGAATCGTCACCATTCATGCTCATGTCGCTGTTAATGCTGTTGTCGTCGCTAAAGGTGTCGTCAATAATAAGTTTTGTTTGTTTATTAAAAAAACGCACCTTCCATATGCATAAACCGCCACGAAATATTAAAAACGGATACGATACATTAAATGAAGAAAAACTAATAGAAACATTAAAAAATTAACAACATGACATAAATTGATATAAACATTAAGTATAAATTATGTTATAATTCCAACAAAACATTAAAAAAAACTTTGAAACATCTCAAAGTAAAAATAAAATTTTTCAATTTTAAAATCACCAATTTCACATAGTATTTGTTTCAAAATCCATCATAGTAAAATGTATTATAATCATCAGAGTAAAATAACAATTATTAATGTGGAAACATCATCAGAGAGAATGATGTGCAGTTATGTCGGGCCCTTCCCTTTGGAACTGAAAATACATTAAAATGTTCAAACTATAAAACCGTAAACATAAAACTTAGTGACTTCCCCAAAGTGATATTAATAAATATTAAAAAAGTAATGAAGGTGTGGAGTACATACTTGTTTATGTTTGATCAAATTTCAAAGTACACTGTCATTTAAGGGCGAAAGCCTTGAACGTACATGGGTCCGGGAGGCAGTGCCCCTGGGAGCTGGGTCCAAGGGGTGGCAGCCCCTGGCGGGGTCCAAGGACTAGATCCTTTGGCTGGGTTTTTCACAGAATTGACAAATGGTTTGACCTTTTTCAAAATATCCGTTTTTATGGTTTTATGACAGTTTGAAACTGTTATATGACAACTTTCATACAAAGATCTTAAAGTCGGTTTGGTCTCATTTTTTGGTATATACGAAAATACATCAAAACACTCTCTGTTCATGTCTCTCTGAGTCTTATCTGATTAAAGAATATTGGAAGTACCACCCAAAATACTTTAATCTGAAAGTGTTTAACACAATTTTTAGAATTTCCTAGCTTTTCTATTCCCCAATTCCTAACACACCATACATACATTGCTATGGGCTACCGTATCACACCCCCAAACCGGAATGACAAAAACGCTCGGGGGCGGATGACGTCATGTATAGTATCATGACAATTATATAATAGTAATCAAAGCAAACACAACCATTACATTGATAAAGTAAAGTATTTACATCTGTTCGATGCATAATATGTATGACATCAAAAGTGTATAAAAAAGTATAAAAGACCCGACTCTAAAAGCTCCAACTTCTCAAAACCTGCGGGTGTACCTGTCTACCGGTTCCCTGAGAATACAAGTGGTTTTGAAATTGTATCCACATTTATGTCGGTGAGTTCATAAGTATGTTTCTGAACTGAAAAGTTTGTTCTTGTTCCTTGAGAATGTTATAGTGTACTTCCAGAAAATCCAATATTTTCTTTAGTGAATAAAATGTAGTCTTACGCCTTAAGACCAAAATGTATGTCTGTTACTATATTCTATAATAGTATATGTAGTCTTATTAATGAATAAAACCATATCATGTATGTTTCCCTTACCTGTATGGCGTACTAGTGTACTTTATACTAGGAAAGTAGTGTATCGTAGTAGTGTTTATCACAAAACATTTGTATGAAAACCTGGATATCACTATTAGTATGGTATAGTAGTGTACTGTATGAAAATCTTTTGTATGTATGCACGTATACCACCATCTATAATGTATAGTAGTGTACTGTATGAAAACCTTTTGTATGTATGCTTGGATACCACCAGCTGTAATGTATAGTATTGTACTGTATGAAAGCCTTTTGTATGTATGCCTGGATACCACTAGCTTTAATGTATAGTGGTCTTCTATATGAAAACCTTTTGTATGCATGTCTAGATACCACAAACTATCATGTATAGTAGTGTATTGTATGAAAACCTTTTGTATGTATTCCTGGATACCACCAGCTGTAATGTATAGTAGTGTACTGTATTAAAATATTTTGTATGTATGCCTGGATACCACCAGCTGTAATGTATAGTAGTGTACTGTAGTTTTATTAATTAAAATAAAACCATTGAAGTAGTGTTAATCTCGTAAGCAAATGTTTTAGTTAATATTGTTGTGAGTTTCATATAACCATGCTAAACTGACTAGTGGCCTCTATGACGTTCTACAAGAGTCGGAATGTGATGACGTTCGTCACCCCAAGCCTGCCGACCTAACTGTAGCTAACAATTTAGGTGTGGGGTTGTCAATCCCAGATAGATCTATACACAAAGTCATGCTCTCCTTCCAGGAGAATCTTGCTATAATTTGTAGGACTTAGACCTGTACCCAGATGGGTACAATTGAAGTAGTGCGCTACAACCCTGTATTTACTAGTTTACGTGTAGTGTACTTTATAGTGCAAAATAAGTATACTTAAATAATTATTAAGTAGTGTATTCTTGAATCCATGTAATAGAGTAGTATTCCATAAACTATACTAGTTATAGTTTATATTCTTGTTTCTGAATAGTGTTCTTGAATTTGTAAAATAGTGTAGTATTTCCCGAACTATATGTATTATAGTTTAAATGTATGTTCTGTGGATCCATCATTTCCATCCTATAGTCATAAGGCAAGGTTTAGTACAAACAAAAGTCAAAACAAGTTTTCCTTTATGGATTGAACTTTTATATTTTTATTTATAATTTCTGGCCTTCTAGCAGCTAAAGGGCCTACCAGTAATTCCATGTTGTTATTAGCTCACCTATATTGACCAATGTACTTTCACTGACCAACATGCCTTTTCTTTTGTAGTTAAATGAAAGCATAAAACTCATAAGCATTGCCAACTCAAAAAAGAAGTGCATATATATAAGAGTGTATCAATAAAACATAACATGTTATCATCCTCAGGCTGTGTGCTAGTGATAACTAAAAGGTTTATTGTCAATTGACTCTTGAATTATTAAATACCATATGAATCCCACTGACTTCTTGACATATGAGTTTTTTCTCAATGAACATTCCTTGACAAGCTAGAAGAAATATTCAAAAGTTCGTGTGGATTCTCGACAAGAAAACCCTTCATAGAATAGATCTCAATTTATCCTTTGTTTCTCTATTAGCGAAAACATCACAAATTCAATTACACTAATATGTTCTTGGAGGATTAATTGTGATATAATTCCACAATTATTAAGATGATCATAAGACATGATACTAAACTACTCTCCTTTCTTTTCATATTGGAGAATCTTTTATCTCTCTGCCTAATAGATTTTTTTTATTTGTTCTGGTACTCTTTGAACCTTTTCAAAGATATCAGAATTATGCTTAGTCTTATAAACAAAATCATATTTACTTAAACATCAATAAATCATGACAAATAGAGTTATCATCCCTTGTGGTGGATCTAAAAAGTCCATATCAACATGTACTAGATCCATTACTCATTCAGTTGCCTCAAAAAAGCATGTAAACAATGAATTAAGTTATAATTTTCCAATGAACAAGAATCTCATAGATTATACAATATGACTTGTACAACAAGTATCTATCCAGTTGGTGATGAGATTTATCTTCACCTGGTCAAATAATACCACAAATGATATTACAAGAATTAATCCATAATTAATATTGATATTATTAGAAACATAACTAACAATATTCATTAATTGCATTGCAAGGAAATATGGCGAGGAAACTATGTAAACCAAAATTTGGCTTTGTTCAAATAAAATGAAAATTGAAACTTGTCCTTATAATGTATGAAATGAAAATTGTATTTCTAAACTTCACCAAAGAGTAATAGTAATCTACTAAATTATCCTAACTCCCTAGTAGCAACTCCAAATTCTAATGATCGAACTATGCAACCAAAGTCCATCTTTCACGATTAGTTTTAGCTCACTTCACTTAAGTTTTCTTCATCCTTTTAGATTCTGAGATACGATCAAAATT